TTAATATGTAAAGCGAAGATGGAGATGAACATCAAGGCAGTCATTCATCAAATGACAAAAAATGGTTTCTCACTCAGAGGATCCGCGCATACTTCCGGTTAATAAATGAATTATTTGAAAATAAATATTTAACATTCTTCAACCAATTGGTCGCGTTCCCGCCGACAATAAAAACATGCTTCGTGATCCTATTGAAGAGTATTTAACTAAAGTCTCTAGATGAACAAAGACAGTCAGATAGATACAACAAAAGCACGACGGCACGGCTTTAAAAAAATCACTTATTCATTCACCTACTTTCGTCACCAAGCTACGTGACACACACACTCTTCCTCATCAAGCTACGTGACACACACTTTTCCTCACCAAGCTACGCAATATTAATACTCTTCCTCACCAAGCTATATGGCACTTACACTCTCCCTCACCAAGCTATATGATATTCACCCGTCTTCCTCACCAAGCTATGTGACATATACACTTTTCCTCACCAAGCTACGTGACACTTATATTTCCCTCCTCAAATTCTCCTTTTTTTCTCACACATACACGCGAAGAAATCGCGTTTCTTTGCATTTTAACAAACAAGGCAATTTAACGTTCACAGGCTTAATTTAAGTTTAATTGTAAAAACATGAAAATAAAAATATTTTGTATTTGAAAATCTTTCTCGCCTTTTTCTTTGTTGTGGGTTGATTCAAATCCGCATCAAATATTTTCCTCAAATTAAAAATCACGGGCATAGCATAAATCCTTGTTTGCTTAACAGCTAAACGATATGGCTTCATAAAATATACAACAGTCAAATTAAATTAAATTATTGAAATTAATGCCATATTTTCACAGTACAATTAGAGGAAAAACATTATTGAATCGCCTTGAAATTTGCATTTCTTAAACAAATGCAAGCACGAATCTAATTATGCCAATTAGACTGCAGTTAAAAGAAAACTGCTTACAGGGATTAACGAGCTGTTGTACATGGTTACTTGAAAGGAAATATGGTTCCAACAAGAGAGTTGTCAATTGAAACAATGGAAAAGGTCAAATCTGATTTGTGAAAGAAATCCAGTATGGCGTGTGGTAAAAGACGATGGTTGCTTTCAATCATCTGTGTCTAAAAACTGGTGTAAGTATAAACAAAATGAGAAGGTTATAAAAAAGAAAAACAAGTGGATAGACGATGTAAGGTGCCTGGAAGGGAAACCCCACCTAATATGCTATGAAAAAAGAAAATGTACAACAAAAAAATGAAAACCAAACAGACAAAAAGACGCGTCAATTTTTGTGACAAAAGATTAAGAAATCAGTTTTAATGAACTGAGATTTACACAGAGAATAGAATAAACAGAAACCAACAGTAACATCTAAACAGAAGAAAAGAAGGTGTCAGTGGGCCACATGAGAACAATCAGGTGTCAGTGGGCCACATGAAAGCAATCAGGTGTCAGTGGGCCACATGAGAGCAATCAGGTGTCAGTGGGCCACATGAAAGCAATCATGGATTGTGAACGAAAATGATATTTTGTGATGAATCACGAATCCTCATTGACCAAGGTGATGATGAAATATAAAAATGACAGCCTGAAAAAACCAAAAATCAAGCAAATTCAGTCATATGAGATTGCAAACAACAACGACAAATTGTAATCATTACTTACAAAGTCAGTGTACAGATGGACAATGAAATTTTGAACAAGTTTCTTATTTAATCTTTAGAAATTTTCTTATGATGAAGTAATTTCTTAAAATGATAATGTATCTTGCCTTAGAGCAAAGTGTGTTAATCTTTTTTTTTTTCAGGATATACATACCAACTCATCGACATCACCAGTAATCAGCCTGGATGCCAATCCGATTCTAAATTTATTGTGAAAAAAAAAATGGCGCATGACAAAATTACATCCTGCAAAGGGGATCATCAACTGTTATTTGAGAACGTTGGAATTCGCATGGAGAAGATAATTATTTTTCAATCGTAAAATCCATGACTGCAAAAATTCAGGCTCTCATAAAAGATGGAAAACGAGCAACGAAGTAAAAATTTGGATTCTTTTTTGATTGATGATTCCTTAATCTTTCATAAAATATAATGGTTCCTAGACCTGCTCTTTTCTAATGCCATTAATTTATCTAATTTAATTTTAGACGGTTTGTTCGGATATTAACCAAATAAAAATCCTCTGAGCGTCATGATTCCATAACCTACATATATACATATATATTTATCAACTTGTTAGACGAGTATGACCTTTTCCGACACATTAAAGCTATGGTAACAATTTTAATTTCAGAGTTGTCCTCTAAGACTGGTTGCTAATTGTTATGGCAATTTACCCACGCACGTATGGACTCTCCCAGCTATAAACAGGAGCAGGTACTGCCTTTTGGAGAGGGTAGTTTCCAGCAATCAGCTCTGACAATCGGACCGAACATTATTGTTGTAACACTCTCGTTTATATATGTTTGTATTACTGTTTTATGGTAATATATTTGTGTAATTCCTCTCTTGGGTCTTTATTTCTGGTCCTAACCCCGGCCACAACATTAACCAAGGCTAGTGAGCCCAGTCTCACCTAGTCTTTCGTCCATTCTCATTCCGAGCCGCTGTTCATTCAGCACTCTCATCAGCAGGTGTTATCAGCAATGGCCGTACTGCGATTATGGTCGTATATACGGCTTGAACAAAACCGCAACGACCCATAACTCCAATGTTGAGAATCCCAATGACAAGTAGTTGCGAGATACTCGAATTAGCACTGTGGTCGGTGTTACATCAGAATTTTTCTTCTCATAAATGGATACCTTATCAAAGGCTTAAGGCCCATCACTGCCTGGACACCAAACCAGGTAATTCTACTTTCCCATATATATATATATATATATATATATATATATATATATATATCAACATCAAAGAGTGGATGGACATGACAATGCCTGAATACTTGTCAGCCATAGCCAAAAGAATATCCAGGAGGAGATTGTTTGTTTCTTTTGCTTCTAGGCCCTCCACGACGATTGAAGCAGTCAAAGGGACTAATGATGATGATTCAGAAAGCACTGGATGAACCTTTCGTCCTATTTGGGGCTCATCAGGCAGTGCGCATCCACTGCTGTCCAGTCTTTTCTGATTCTGTTGAGGATTCTTCTAGACTCGATAACTTGATTATTCATATCACCCCAAATTTCTATCACTTATATAACCTTGCTTGATCCAGCTTCTAATGCTCTGGAGTGTCTGGCTTGAGGAAAGAAGTCGTGGTTCTTGGGTTATAATCCGTTGGGTTTTTGATGCTTGATGTGTATCACCACAGAATTTTGGGAGCAGCGGCGCTATATCAAGTCTAGTCAGTTTCGTCATCGTCACCGAGGCCCGTTGGTTCAGTGGTATAACATTTGCGTTGGATCGTAACGTTCCGGGTTCGATTCTCGGTAGTGGATTTGCACTATATATATATATATATATATATATATATATATATATATATATATATATATTAAATAATGCAGCTTAATTAGTATTGTAAAGCAGTCATTCAAAGAATAAAAAAATAGTTAATGGCAAAAATCGGTTCGCTAACAAATTAAATAAGGCATTAAGTCGGTGAACTACGCTTTCCTTGCTTTTATTAATTGTAAAATGGATTAGATGTTTAGTCCATATTGCAAGTCCTTTCGGCAATCATTTAACATCCCCAGGCATAGATGTTATTTTTTTTCTAAATTTCAGGTAAAATTTCAAGACGAAAATGAATGTGATACTTGTCTAAAGATGTTTTTTTTTTAAAGTGTGCTGCTATTAACTATTAAGAATTTTTTGAGCGTGCAGCAATGCGACGCTAGATTTTTGAATATTGTAATAATGTAGTAATTCACGGATGATTCTATTATTGTAAGTGTTTTTTCCGTTAACGTGACATGGACTAAGTGGTCCAATCATTAGAGCAATGGCCCAGATGATTTCAGAATTTTTTTTTAATGCAGATCGATTCTTTTTACATTTATTATGCAGTTTAATTAATATTGTAGTCATTCAAAGAATAAGTTATGGACCTAACATCTAATCCATTTTACAATACATGCAAAAACGGGTTGCCTTAAATGTCCTTTTTTTCAGACTTCCACTGACTGACATCATTTTGTTAGTGATATATATATATATATATATATATATATATATATATATATATATATATATATATAATAAAATCTTTAGATGCTGGATAGCAACACGACCACGGTTTCTACTGCCAAGGTCTATTGAGGTTGTTAATACAACGAATTAAATTATCTTCCACACACTAAAACTAAAATAAGTTAATGTTACACCGAAAGTAATCGACTGTAGTTGGGAAGACAAAAAATATCATCCAAACTCATCCGGGTTCGTAAATGGCTAAGTATAACTTCCTTTTATGCCTAGATTTTGCCATGACCTCTGTTCTTTCATTTAATAACTCTGTTACAGCCTTGTAAGTCACAATAACCAACTTCTCCTCCTGAAAAAGTCTGCAGGAGATGCCGTTTAGCTTATGATTCTTCACTTTTCTCAGGATACTCCATTCAATCGCCCAGTTTCTATTATGGATCTCTCTAAAACTCCAATAATGTTCAACCAGACTCTGAATAAGGAATCACGAGTATACCATACATTTTAAATTCGCCCTCCGTACAGCCAATGTATGTCATCGCATTGCCATCGCTGCTCTCTAGAAAATTGCTTTGTTTACCTATATATAGCTTTTTTTTCTTTCTTTTTTTTTTTTACAGCTTATCAACCTTATGCAGGTTATTCAAAACCGAAATATATTTTTAGATTATAAGAATTTTGGAGAGATAAAAATGATCTTCTGATACAATTCTTATTATTTAATCCATAGCTGTGAGGAGACGAAGTGGATTCATACATTTTCCCAATGATATTTGCACGTAAGTGAATATAACGAACTCAACTGGAATTTCCAATTCCGAGCCGTTATAAAACCAACATATACAAGCTTACAGCACCTGTTAATCTGAAGCGGTTACCCATCTAGGTATTGACCAGGGTCGACGTGGCTTTACTTCGATGATCGTACGAGAACTGGTGTTTAAACGTGATATGGCCATAAGTCGTATTGGAGGCTGTTCTATCAATTATTTCGCCTTCAAGTAAGATATCAGACGATAATAGTATATTTTTCGCTGTTCAGTGTGTCATCGATTTTTATCAATTTTCCTGCACCATTCCTTTTGATATAACCCCAAACCCTTAGACTCCCATCACCGAACATTACAGTCTTCGGACATAACTTTCTTTCATAAGAATTCTGTTCAATTTTGTTTTCGCCATTAAATATCGCTGTTGGTTATTGCAGATGTTCTTTTGTTCAGAATTTTCGATGCATTTTTGGTTTGTGAAGACATTTTTGTTGTCTCTGAGTCCATTCAATTTATTTCTATGCTGTATCCCTCTTATTGTATGAACTGACACTTCACGAGTAATGTTTATCCATTAATTGAACCGTTAAAATCCGGTTGGGTTCTGTGAACATGACGAGATTTCTTTGATTTCGTTTGTTTAATTTCAAAGATCATCCACGATTTTTCTTATACACTCCCACCATCAGCGTACTTTTTGTGTGTGACTTGGACAAAGCGGCTCGATATACCAAGCTCCTTGCAAATTTCACGTTGACTCATTCTTTGTGATATTTTAATGATTTTCATCCACTTCTCCAAATTGAATTTTCCCGTTATGGAATTTCAAACAACTAAATTAAAAAAAGTCAAGTTAAAATACTCCAAAGATCACACTTTGGCCATTTATTCCTGTTTGGTCCATTTAATTCTTGTTTGGTCCATTTATTCCTGTTTTGGTCCATTTATTTAACATGCGAAATATGGATGTCTATTTTAAGCAGACGTTTATCCTCGCACTTTGTGTATGCGATAACTTACTCTGGAATCCTGAATGACCACAGATATCTTGCAAATGTTCCACTGGGAATCAACGCCAATTTTCTTTATCCATGTCTCAATTTTGTCAGTCACCGAACCAAGTGATCCAGTGACAACTGGTATGACCGTGACCATCTTCACATTGCGAGTTCAAACTTCAATAGGCCATAGTTGATGACTTTCTCTTCTTCCTGTTGCTTTATCCATAGATCAAAAGAATGTCATTGATCAATGATTATTAAGCCTTCTTTTTCTATTTTACATTCCACCAAGATGTTCGGTTTGTTGTGTTTTTTTTATCTGGAAAGAAGCAATGCAGTAATAAATAAGAAGAGTTGAAATAAACCATGCAAGATTTCACAGCTCTAATATATATGTATATATATATAATTTTCTAAATGTGTGTATATGTATGTGTTTACGTGTGTGCGATCGTATGTTGTTTATACGTTTCCACAGTTTTCATTCGATTTCGATGAAATTTTTTTTTGATAGATAATTTTTCAGCGCCGGTTTGAGTCCAAATTGGCTGGAAAAAATTACAACCTTGAAGGTGAAAAATCGACAAAACTGATTTTTTACACTTTGTGTAAGGCAAAGTTTAATGTCTGTAAAAACAGCGTACAATCAATTTAGACATTTGAAATCTAACGCAAAAGATTATTAGAATTATAAAATTGTTACCCCCCCCTGCATTTGGAGATGTGCCTCAGATGCACCCAATTGTTTTTATTAATATTGAATTTCGGGTGGGCTGTCTTTAAACTGTTCCAAATGAACGGCAAAAATTCCCAGAAATGAAAAACCCGGTCGAAGTCGGGTTATACTCCTAGTAATTAAATGCAACTACATACAAGAAAAATTACTAAATTTTACTCATTTTTATTACAAAATAATAGTAAAATGTTTTTGTATTCTTTTACTTTTAAAATATTAATTCTGGTCCAATGATGAGAATATATTTTATCAAATTAAATCTTTAAAAGAGAACTATGAATTGCAAATTTTTGAAGACATGCATTCGTGTAACTATCGATATGATGTATGGGGGGGCGTGTGTGAGAGTGTGCGTGCTGTGGGGGTGTTAGTGCGCGCGTGCGTGTCTATTTGTACGTAAGTAAAAATATGGAAAATTATTTGTTGTTTAAGAATTTGAAAGGAATAGTAAAGGGAGCCAACCCCTTTACTGCTCAAAGATCAACTTTGAACTTGAAACCCTTACTAATCCGGGACTCTGACTGGCAAACCTTCTTGGGCCCACGCGGTAAATTCGATCCTGGAATCTTCCTCTTTTGCAACTAACAGCCGTAGTGACCAGATGTTTATTAGAGCCATCACTTCCGACGGTAATGGAATACAGATGCCCCGAAGCCCACTTGTGTCTTGGCCACTTTTCTTGCAGTTAAGTCCGCAAATATAAATTATATTTGCAAGCCTTCTTTTTACCTATTGTACATGCACCCTTTTCTGTACATTAAGTCAGTTGAATATAATACAGTCGTTGTGTTGCTTCTCTTTTTCAAGTATGTCCGTCTTTGACTTTTTGGAACTTAACTGCAGCCGGAAAATCTTCATAGCTATTAAGTCGGACCGAACGTAAAAGTTTACTGCGAAAAGTGACCATATTATTATTGTTGTTGTTTTGTTTTCTGTTTAATCCAGTCTCTTGCCAGGTCATTACCCGTGACACACAGTGTAATGTTTTAGAATTCCTTGCAAATGGCTGTTGCCAGGGATTTTGTTAATGTTCTTATTTGTATCTTTTTCATCGTACCCAAGGTTCCACTTTTGGGTATAACAGTAGTTTTAATGTGACACATGTTTTCGATTTCTATTTAATTCAGTTACTATTATTATTATTATTACAAGTTTTTTCTATTTCCTTGAAGCAGATGTTAAACATATGAGAGCGTTATCATCTCTATACCTTCTCTCCTTTTCTCACTGAAACCAAACAGCGTATCTGGTGTCTTTTCCGCCTTTCATCGCATAAGGAATAAGTAGAATTATTATTATTATGGTTATTATTATTTCCTAAGATGGGAGGGGCTCTTTCATCATGAGTGCGACAGAAAGAAAGAAAGGTAAAATGTTCAAGGAACTTTTTTTTGATTAAATCTCTTGTGAATATGAAAAGCTGTTGTTAAGTCAACAATTAATCTCACTTTTGCTGACTCTCATACATGGAACCAGATAAAAAATGAATTTTTAAAAATGATATTTTTGTCTGTGACAATGAATCTAGTGTAAAGATACAAAGAGAGAAAAACTAAGCAACTGAAAAAGCTTCTGTGTATTTTCCATTTTACTGCGTCCATAAAGAATATTCATCAGAGACATATGCCACGCCTTGTGTAGCATCAAAGAACTGATTATATTTTTATAATTTTTTATGATTATTAATAATAATACTTGCATCGCCATTATATGTCTTCTCAGTATATACAATGATCAATATGTCACCCATTTAGCCTCCTTCGCCATATAATTGGTGGGGAAATAATCCACTACAATTTGTAAAAAATGAGGTTTCTGTCCTCTAGAATTTCAGTATGCAGATTAGCAGGGAAATCCAAGCAAATCAATCAGAAATAACTGAAAAACTCTGTTCAAAAGACATGTCTGCTGACAGATATTGCCGTTCGAACCGACAAAAACACTTCTTTGAAAACTTTTGAGAAACTAGGCAAACACAATGACCTCGATATTGTAATCAGTAGAATGTGGCCTCTCAACACAACATGACCTATTGTTATTGAGGCTATGGTAATTAGATCAAAGGGGACAGATCAAATTCTTGGTATCCTTAAAAGATTTGAATTGCAAAACATCATACTTATGTGTACTTCCCGTACCTTGCGTAGATTTATCTCCATACAATAACTACAATTAAATATTTTGTTTTTCACTCTGGTTTCAGGAACCTCATCTGTTTGTATCGACTGGTACAAAATAAATGGTTGTCGTTTGTAGTTTCTGGTTTAGTTTTTAAACAACTCGTACTACACAAAGCAAGGGCAAATAATAATAATAATAATAATAATAATAGAAATAAAAAAGAAAAAATAGTAACCTAAATAAATAAACTACGAGGACAATTGACAAGTCTAAGTGAATTAGACAAGAAAGGCTTCAAAATGAAAGAAAGAAAAAAGGAGACAAATATAACGAAGCATTGACATAAAGAATAAGATCAAAAGAAGCTGAAACAACAAATTCAAGCGAAGGAACAGAGAATCAGACGTTATGAAAACAGAAACATATTCTTCTCGAAAAACATGATCTTCAAAGAAGATGCCAGTGAAATATATATAGATCTGGGAAAAATAGAGATAAATAATCCACCTAATATCCAAGAAGTCGAGGAGTTCTTGGGTAACATATGGAAAAACAGCAAAATACACAATAAAAGAACAACATGGATGAAAGAGCAACAGGAACAACACACACACGTAGAGTGCCAAAAATGGACGGATATCAATATTACTGAAACAACCGTTGGCATTTGCAAAACCAAAAACTGGGAAGCACCAAGAATAGCCAATTTTTGGATAAAGACCCTAACCCTACCACCCACCAAGATCTCGCACAGGCATACAATGATATACTGATAAATCCAGAAAAATTCCCCAAAGTGGGGAGTAATATACCTACTCACAAAAACAGAAGAGACACAGAATCAGAAGTACTATAGGCCCATCACCTGTTTACTAACAAAGTGCAAGATCCTTACTTCTATAAAAACCGAGAAGACATACAGCTTCATTGGGAAAACAATTACTCCCTGAAGAACATAATGGATATAAAAAAGAAAGTTACGGGTGCATAGATCAACTAATTATCAATAAAACAATATTGGAAGAGGTGAAAACAAAGAAACTTATCGACATCATGGAGCGACTACAGGAAGTCGTTCGACAGTGTGCCACACTCATGGACAGAGAAAAGCCTAAAAATATATGACTCCCAAAATTATGTCCCAAATTCATAACGGAGAACATGAAAATTGGAAGATGACACTAAACGTAAACCAGAAATTCAGGAAGTGTATGCTTATTGACATAGCAGTATCATCTGAGAGAAAAATTTCCATGAAAATTGTCGAGAAATTGTCCAAATACAAGGAACTGGAGATCGAGATTGACAGGATGTGGAGTATGAGCCTATACC